GGCCCCAGGAGCAGACGTGACATGGACGTTTAGAACTAGAGTGGTACCTCTACTTATGAAACTAATTGGTCCTGGAAGAAATTTTTTAACTAGGATATTTAAGTAGAGACGTGTTTTCCATATCATTGCCCTAATCCGTTCCAAGGTACCACACTGTATTGCCCTTCCTAATACATGGCATCATAATGCTTTCACTAATATTTTGGAGAGATATTTGAAAGGCCAAAGCAAAAACACAACTAAAATGAAATATGATCCCGAAAGACAGACTGAAATTCTGAATATATTCGCCAGTGAATTGATATTGTTCTGAGGAAATTTGTCTTGGCCAGCCCTGTTGCAGATGCCTTACAATGATGATGTCAAGAAAGGGTCGGCAGTACATCATCTTATTCAATCCATTACAGCGAGTCATTCAGCGCAACCAGTGATTTAATCAAGTCAATGGACTGGCAAATTTAACATCACAATTGCGATGGCATTCGAACATCGAAATCATGGCATACAATGGTGATATCTCGAGTGATCATTTGCAATCCATGAAGTTATTTTGTAACACAGCGCGACTTATTTTGTATTAATCGATTTAATTGGTTGAATACAGGAGTGGCAAGAGTGCAGGTTCACCAAGCTACAGCGACTCGGAGACCTCGGAGGAAAGAATGGATGTTAGTATTTGCGATCCAAATTAAGCAGGAGGAGCTTTGGAGAATGTTAAAATGAGCTGAAAGAGACATCCGAGTCAGAGTGGAGGGGAAAAAAAAACAGTGCAGCAAGTACACATGAGCTTAATTTGTTTAAATTTTAATTCAGTTAGCTCAGCAGACGAAACAAGGAGATGGTGACTTCAAGAGAGATGAACCGAAGATGGTTACCCAATGTTCAACGTGTTTTTAGGTTTGTCAGTCGCTCTTCAAGGCCTGCTCACCCAACTATCTATTTTCTATACCGCTTATTCCAGTGAGGGTCGCGGGGAGCTGGAACCTGCCCTCACACAGACAGAACTAAGACTTTCTCCTTCTGGCATTACAGTAGAAATGAACTTTTTGCCTTTATGTTGTGTTGCTGTTGTGTATCAATGCCATTGTCACAAAATGGGGATGCGGGTGGGGGCGCAGAGGCAACCGGCCAATTTTCTATCTATGCAGGTAGTCCAAGAGCCCGAGCAAACTTTGACTCTGATCCCTCATTGGAAGCTACAGTATCATCTAATTGTGGGATGCCGTTTTTTCTGCTTTGCTGGGTTTTGTGTGGAAAAAACACAAACGGCAGATGATTATCTTCTGTTACGGTGCCAAGGCACCCATTTTGCAGTAATTCTGTGATTAAAGAGGCTTATTTGTATTGGGTGTTGTGTCCTAAAATTGATGGCCAGGATGATGGAGTGTGATGACGATGCGTTAAATGAATGTAAGGTAAACATACATTCGGTGACTGTGTTAACAGGGTGGTGTGAGAGTTCAGAGAGCAAAAGCAAACAGCCGATAAAGTGACCATGAAACATTCAAGCTGCCGTTACACTCACATTTACATTAACACGCCAGCACATGATAGAAGCACCGCCTATGTGTGGGTGTTTGCACTTTTTGCTTCTCTTTGTTTGCTGGGTCTGTCCTGTATGAAAAAAATATATTTTTTAAAAAATGAATAAATAGCACCTTGCTCTGTGCACACACAAAGATAGTGCTGCTGTAAACATGATACACCTGCCCTAGAGTAGCAGCAGGATGTACCTGGTGGAATCATGCTGGTTAATGAAAATGCGCTGCAGTCTTGATTGCCGCTTGCATTGCAAACGCTGGGAGGGGGCTGGGAAAAGCCTGCTGTTGCTGCCCTTGTACACAAAGATAACACCCTAAAGCACACGGACGTACACCACTGCGTGCACACAAACTTTATTTAACAAAGTAAACAACCATTGGCTCGCTCACACAACCCTGACCCGGATACAACCGCAAGAAATGCCATACAGAGCTTAACTTGAATCAAACTGAAACCATCAAATGTTTTCAGAATTCAAATGAACATGATGCGCCATTAGGCTACCATAGCAGCCCACAGCAGTTGCCCATTTCACATTTTAAGGCTTTCATAAAAATAAAAAATTAAAATAAAAAAAAAAAAAAAAGCATACACAATTTTTCACAAGAAAACCAGTATTGCTATCGTAAAAGAATGGATGGACTCCTCCCCATCATTTCTCAGCTATCAACATAATGGACATACAAATATTGGTCATGTGATCGAAAACTATCTATATACAAGTCATATAAAAAAAATCCTTTCATAATTGTAATGCTGGTCATTTTTTATTGACATATGAATATTCAAAACACGATGTAACCAATATGAAGGGTTGTGTGCAGTGGCGCAAAGGGACAAGAAATAAACGCATACATTGTGGAATCTTGGAGAGTCTTATGTACACTATAGCGCAAACTACAACCACAATGGGATATATATTGTTAAATTAAAAACTAAGTCTTTTTTACTGCCGGTAGTAACAATTGGTAAACTTCTGCCAGACAGCAGAACTTTAAATTTTATTTAAGAACGTAATTCAAAAATGAAGCAAGCCAAGAGATTAAAAAAAAAAAAAAAGAAGAATTAGCCTGCATGTTGAATAGAGCACTTTGATGTACATCTTTATTCCACCTGGATAGTATCGTGGATGAAATGGGTGGAAACAATGGGGAAATGCCAGTACGCCAGAGGGTAACAGCTCACAGAAACACCCCACAGAGAAAAACCAAAACCAAAAAGAACTACAAACGACTTCATTTTTGGAACGATGAACTTTGAAAAAAAAGTCAATTATGAACTATGATCTGAATTAGTCCATTTAAAATTTTGCAAGCCGAACTTTGAACTTGTCGCCGTAGAAAATGAACACTGTTGTGAGTTGCTTGCGAAATGTCCTCACGTGCTGGATTTGTTCACAAAACCTTTTTGACGCCCCTGATACAGTGTGTGATGAGAAATGAAAACTGGTATCCTGCTATGGCCTTGAGAGTTGATGTGGCTCTTGGGATTGGGAGAGTAAAATAAATAAATAAATAAAATCCATCTGATCCTCTGCTCACTTCTCTTCACGGTCGAATAGGTAAATGTATCACATGCACATAGTTGGGAGTCATTCATAAATAAATGAGTGAAGCCAGGGAGTGTAGCTGGGCATGTTCACAGAACCGTGAGCTAAAAAGTGTAGTAAATTACATAACATCACTGAGCAAAATGATATATTCCACCAAAAGCGTTGGGGCGTCTGAACGTTTGTAGTCGTGTGTCATATGATGCTTGGCAGTATAATTGCATTTTGTACACGTTATTCTTGTATGTCTGAGGTACTCGCCTTAATTTTGTGGACAGATTTGCCCTCCTCCAGCAGCTGGCTCCACACAGCGATTCCCCCTTTGTTGTAGGTCACACTCCAACCTTCCTCACTCAGACACTCCGACTTGAAACTGGCGAACGCCCGGTCGTCCGGGATGGTGACGCTCGGTCCAGACATGTCTCTATACCGGGAAAAAAAGCAGGGCTTCGAGTAAGATAGACTGTTGCTGGGGAGTCTACCTCCTCTTGTGTTTGAACAAGTTAACAGCTTAATTCAATTTAGCGAGAAACCTGCAGCGAGGTCTGGTGATGTGTGCGCATGCTCATTGAGGGAGGTACAATGAACTAGTCAAATAGAGGTGTGGACGACGACGAAACCGCCGGGTACAGGTGACAGAGCTCTGCGTCGACAAAACCACTCAAACGGTTCAATCGAAGACGTTGCTGGATAAGTTTAGCTCGGGTATCTGTATCTGTCTTTAGAAGCAGCCGCTCTGAAAACCCCCCATATGGTTACGTTTCCGCTTGACACTCACCTACTCTGTGGCTTTCTTTTTCACTTCCGCTGCTCTTCAATGGTCCTGTGCTAGTTTGTAGCAGTTCTCCATCCCTCCAGTCGGTACTCGTTGGGAAGATGCGGTGTCAACGAAAGGAGTGGGAGGGTGGACAGTGGATTGGCTTGATCGACGTCAGACAGGCGACGCAGCGAAGACTTCAATGGGAACGCCTCCGAGTGATGCATTTAAAGCACCTCGTAAAGCGCGCAGCTCTCCCTGAGGCCCCCCCCCCCCCATTCCATTAATTGACTCGCTCACCAATGACGTTGCACGCGGGCGTTTTCTGTCAACAACATGGCGAGCCATCTCAAGATTTGCTTGATGATACATGCACATTTTGCACTGTTAATCGAGACAGTGTAACTCTTCTTTTCTGTGATTGCCCCTTGAGTGTCAGTTGCTGGGAAATTAACTCATTCACTCTCAAAGACATATTTATATGTCTTCAGACTTCACACATCCAATCCCATGTACTGTACTTAGGTTTTCTTTTTTCCTAGCTTTTTTTTCCAAGACTGAAAGTCATTTTTTTATACGGGTCTGAAAATGGCTGGCACTGAATGAGTTTTAAATGACTTTTTTTTTAAACGGGTGTGAAAATGGCTGGTACTGAATGAGTTAAGAGAAATACGTTTCTCAAAAGACTGGGCATACTCTCAAGATTGAAGATTTTTTTTTAAATAGTATCACTTGTTTTGTATACAAAGATCTAGACATTTGCAATCACTTCACTTTATTGAATTGTTCCCCTGAAGGGCGACTTGGTTTGCAGCAGGTCACACTGACAAGCACACAACAAAACAGTCACATAAACCCAAAATAATAATATTGTTTAAATTTATATTATTATGTATAGTATATAATATAGTAAATTGCATCAAGTGCACAGACATAATACATATGAAATGTAAGGAATAGATACACACGCACACACGCACACACACACACACACACGCACGCACGCACACATACAGAGAGAGAAAGAGAGAGAGATTGGATTTTTGGTGCCACACGCAGTCGCTGATCGTGTAGTACAGTAAAGGTACACTTGCCTGACTTGCGTGCGAGGCAACGTGGGAACGCCAAGCAAAACGTTCAACTAGACTGCATTTCCCAGACTGCACCGCGCATTCGAGCACCGTCCATGCTAGGATGAGGGAAACGTTTGAATGCGTGTGGCTATTGTAAATAGCAACACAAAAAAAGGCACTCCGGCGTCACCGTTGGACCTACACGTCATCGCCATCTCGTGATTTACTCGTTGCTACTGGCACACGCCAATTTTATTCGCAGATCCTTTTGCGGGTGAGTTATTCGCCATGTTATCGTCTATTCCCACTAGGTTGTTTGCACGAAGGTCGCGTAGCCTGTCACCGTGCAGGCGCGTTCTCCAGACTAGTTCAGCCACCCATGCCTGTCAGACCATAATAAGAGAGCCACCGGCGGATAACAACCGGAACCCCATAGTGTCCACCTCCCGGGTGTCAAGACGAGGGATTTTGGCTGATGACACCGCTGACAGCGTTCACCAGTTGGCGCAGTACCACCACCTCGCCCCTAGATGGCTGTCAAGTCTGGAGAACCGCCGCAGCTCTTGGGCCGCGCTGGCCAGCAGAGGGCGCAACAACAACATGTACTGGGAGGATGGTGGTCAGGGAGCTGGAGGTGAGGATGGGGATACCGGTGCAGGCGGCAGCCCCTTGAAAGTGGCCTCGGCTGGCCTCCTATCCGCTGCTGCCGTGGCCTTCTGCCTGAAGAAAGACAGTGATGACAAAGGTAACTCAGACTTAAGATGTGGCCTGATTAAACAATAAATGTGTACAACTCATTTTGTAGCAACGTGATGGCACACATACTACGGGGTGGCAAGAGAGGAGCGATCGCCGATGGCACCACAAGCAAATCAAGCAATCTCTTCTTTGTCATTTGACCAAGGCAGAAAGATGTGAGAAAATGCTTTCCACAAGCCACATGATGGAAATTTGTTTCCATGTGTGTCCGTTTAGAAGTGGCAACTCCACCTCTAGTCGGCTTTTTATGACATCCAGTCGATTCATCATCCTCGTTCACAGGTTCCCCTGGAACCATGTAGATTTCTTCGAAGGAAGTTGAAAAATAACTTTTGGTGTGTGTGCCAGACACAACCCCAAAGGCAACAAATTTTTGTCAATGTTTCAGTACAAATCAGCTTTTCTGACTACCGGAACTACCATGGCTTTAATTCCCCAAAATAAGATTTTTTAGGCCACATTATCCAACCATAAGATGTACAGAAGAAACATTTGCTGATGTTTACAGTTTGGAATGGATATTCAACCAGCTTTATGTACGGTAGTATTTTTGTCAAACTCCCACATTGCTAATCTCAGCATTTTTGTATGTTCTTCATATTTCACTTCACAAGGTGATGCCCTTTTGGAGGCAGCAAGGACCAATAGCCCCCAAGATGTGGCCAGGTAATGAACTTGTTGACCGCACATGCACACAAATTTTACATCTTAACATATTTTTGAAATGCGAGGGGCCCACACATGAGGAAGATTTTGATAAGTGTGAGCTGTGGTGCACTCCAGATGACCAATACAGCACACCATACTCATTTTATGTTTTGTGCCAAGTAATCTCCTGAAACCAGAGTTCGTCATAGTACAAAGACTGACCTATGAGAAGTAGCACAGAGTATTCAGACTTTCTTGAAAAATGTAATCCTCATTTTCTTATATCTCAACAATTATGAAAAACTGAAGCACTTCAACAATATTCCAAGCACTTTCCTATTTGAAACTAGGCATTTTCAACTTTTGACTAAATGTGTCTTGTCTGTTTCATGCTACCTGTCAAGTTAACTGTATGCTAACTTAAGCACATTTACACAGATATTGTACCAGTGTTCATCAGAATGCATTGTTCCTTTCAAATAAATACAAATAAATATAAAGACTGCCGGCTCGGTCACATGGTTATGAAAGCGTGATGTCATATGTTGATGCAGTCCCACCTGTAAACCAGCAGATGGCAGGAAAGGGTTGCAGATGTTGGCGTACATCAGTGGGTTTTTACATTTTGGGGGGTCTCCTTGAGCCACTTTTCATGACCATATTTATTTTCAGTCATACAGATAATGATTGCTGCTCGTGAAGTAATTGTGCTATAGTTCTTCAGCACTATATGCATATTCAAGAGCTAACACTGAAATTTACTCACTTTATCCATCCATCCATCCATTTTCTGATGCGCTTATCCTCACAAGGGTCGCGGGGGATTCTGGAGCCTATCCCAGCCGTCTTCGGGTAGGAGGCGGATGACACCCTGAACTAGTTGCCAGCCAATCGCAGGGCACACAGAGACGAACCACCATCCACACTCACACTCGCACCTAGGGACAATTTAGAGTGTTCAATTAGCCTGCCATGCATGCTTTTGGAATGTGGGAGGAAACCAGAGTACCCGGAGAAAACCCACGCAAACTCAACACAGGGAGCCCGGAGCTGGAATTGAACCCGGTACCTCAGCACTGCGAGGTCGACATGCTAACCACTGGCCCACCGGGCCGCCTTACTCAGTTTATTTACTGCAAAATAAAACCTAGTGAAGTCAATCTTGCCATTTGTAAAAATGTGTCTAATGCGTAAATCGCTAATATAGAAAATAAATGCTTATTTGGAAGAACTTGTATAATGTCCATAAAGTTATACAAAAATTGGCCAAGCCTAATGCAGGTATTGTGTATTTATTTTGCACATACAGTGTACGTCCAATTTGAATATATTCATAAATTGCATGTCACAACAATTGTGTGAAACTATTGAAGACATTTGCTTGAGCCCACTGGCAATTGCATGAGGTACTATTATAACTAACAGAGCGCCTTAAATGAAAGCTTATTAGCTGCCTCAAATGTTATTACTATAATTTTCCATTGATCTACCGCACTGTAACTTTTCCTCCTGTTGTGTCTTGCACTCTCACAGTTAGCCAGCCAAAATGAACAGGACTCGAGCGTTATTGTGCCCATCTGTCAGGCTGGTATAATTATATCACACATTTTTAGCAATGTAAAGTTTACATTATAATGTGTCGCAAAAAAATGCCTTGTCAAGAAAATGGAATATTTGTGAGATCACTTCTAAATGGCCAAATAGGAGTACAATACATATTATGTTGTGTTGATACACTGGCAAAATTCAGCACTTAAAGTCGCAGTGTTGTCTGTGTGTTTATCCAAGCATGTCTATTTGCAAGCTTGGGTTACCTGTGCACATGTGACAGATGGTTTAGGTGAGAGTGCAAGCAGACAGATGTGTTAAGTGCTTTGTGGTTTGTCGAAGAATGTCAGGGGCCAGGGCGTGTCTGCTCAGACGACTGCTATATGGACTAAAGACACAGCCATTTACACCTATAGGAAGTACAAATGGAAGAAAACGCTGTGGTGCTGATATAGTTTTGAAGACCTATAGTGCTGTGGTGAAGGTTTTGATTTCTAAACTTTTCAAGCATAACGTCCTGAGAAAAACAAATCAAGGCGGTGTGATGTAGGGTGATAGCCTTCCACCGCAAAGCAGAACATAATAGTCACTCATTTGTTCCTGCACAAGTACTGCCAGGGTGGGAAGCAGATTAGACAGAGGCCATTCATGTTTACTGTAAACAAACACTGTCTGCCTGTACAGGCGTTAGAGACAACAGATGGATACACACGCACGCGCGTTCTCCCTCAGTTAGTACGGCATCGTAAAGTATTTGATGGCAGACCCTCAGGCACAGAAGTTAACACACACCTGGGTGGCACACACTTTTTGGTTGTGGGGTTGGAGATAGAGACAGAATGTGCTGGTCCACTGCACACACTGACTGCAGTGTATGTAAGTTTTGTCAAAATAAGATTAAAAAAAAAAAAGCATTGTTAACTCATCTTTCTGGTTCATCTCCCACCAGACTGTTGCAGGAAGGGGTGGACCCAAATCATCGACACCGTCTTGGTTGGACCTCCCTTATGGTGGCTGCCATTAACCGTCAGCACAGGTGTGTGTTTGTATATTTGACTCAATAGCATTGCCAGCCACAAAAATGACAGGAAATGATCAGAGCTGATGTACGTGACTGAATGACAGATCAACATTTGGACCCCCAAATAGGGTGATGGTGGATCCAAATGTCGCATGTCAAAATTGTTTTCCCAGCCATCCATTTTCTTCCACTTATTCAAGGTCGATTCTTTGGGAATCAGCTTTTGGAAGACAAAAAGGCCAACTTTTTAACCCCTGTGCCCCCCTCAGAAAAAAAAAAAATCTGAAATTTATTGACCTCAGAGACATCAAACGTTTGAGATTCATGTCTGTGCAGCATTGTCTGTGTCAAATGCAGTTTTGTTGTTCTATCACGTAGTTTATGCTCAAATATTTTTCTCTCCCACACTGAACCTGGGCTAAATTAAAAAAACTGTTCCCCTCCCTCATTTATGATACCAAGAATAATTTAGGAGTGAGCATGTATTCATTCACAGGTTGGTTTGTGGCTACAGCATGTAAGTTCAATGTCAATACCTATTTTCAATATATATCTTTTTTAATTGTGGAAAACAGAGTCTCATAAATTCAAGTCAAACGTAAGAGGTCGTGAAACAAAGAAAGCTTCAGAAAGTGGTCCAGGGAAAATTATGCCGTTCGTGTCTTGGTGCCCCATCTCCGAATCATCCAGCTGTCTGCTTGACTTATTGTGTGTGTCATGTCCCTGCTTGCGTTGTTACAGCAGGTCTTCAGAAGTGCAACTTTGAGAGTAACAGAAGGTCTTTACCCGGTCCCCCGTCTCTTGGTCCTACAAATTAAATTAGCCTGCTGGCCCCCAGAACACACACAACACAGAGAAGGGCCGAGGTTAAGACCAGGCCAAATCCAATTTCAGCACCCCCCCCCCCCCACACCCCCCGCCCCTCCATCAAGAGTCTGTGGTCATTTTTTATTTTGTGTTCAGAAAACCCCACCTGCTTGTGAGAAACATAATGTGCAATTCAAATGTGAGCATAACATGAGATGAGCGTATATGCAGCGGAGTAACAAATGGTGCTGCACAGTTCCCTTATTGTACTGTATATTTGTCTCTTTGTTAGATTATCGCTTTTCTCCATTTCCTATTACTGTGTTTAAATATTCATCGGGACTTATTTTTTGCATACACATGATTTTCATAGTGACAATTGCATCGTATTACTTTCATGTTAGAGCATGTAAGCGGTGCGCGTGATGAGTGATGGCTAGTTTGTGTGACATGTTAATGATGCGGTGTGTCAACTGTTTTTTTTTGGTCACAAATTCGATGTTTATGTCCGTACTCGGGGTGGATGTGTGTCACCGTGTGCGTTATGAGTGCTATAACTCAGCCAAGAGATGACACTCGTCTGTTTTTAATCCCGTCCTCCAACCCCCCAGTGAGCCGTCACTGCTGCAGGGAAGACAGAGCTTTGCTTGCCGCACATCCCTCATGCATCTGTTGTGCTCATGGCGCACACGTACTACAAGTCTCAGTCAGCGTGAGCGTGCACGTTAATGCACGCAAAGCCATGAAGAGTTTTTACACAATATCTTATAGGCCAACTGCCTATTACTCAGTCACACACTCAACTTTATTTGCAGCAGTTAAGTGAAAAGCCAGGAAACATTACTCATGACCATGGTCTTGCCTGTAGCAGGTGTCAAAATGGACTAGCGACAAAATGATTCTAGCCCTCCTTCACATCGTGTTTGTATTTGCCTGGACGAGAAGTCCTAAACTGAATTAACGTTGGACAGAAATGTCAATTCTTCAGACCCATTAGTTGTGTATCAGAAACTAGGAATTCACACTTATCTGCTTTAGGGTGTTGAGATGCGAGTAAAGCAACAAACAGAAAAGTGTGTGTGTGTGTGTGTGTGTGTGTGTGTGTGTGTGTGTGTGTGTGTGTGTGTGTGTGTGTGTGTGTGAGAATGAAAGGTCAGACATTCGGTGGGTGGGCATGACTTCTTGACTTAACTTTGATGTGAGGCTAAATCAGGGAGGCACAGGGACCGGCCCACTGTTTGCACTCTTAAACACACAATAGCCATCTCGATCTCTATTTCTCGACCTCCATGGTTCCTTCGCCGTATTCACGTGCACAATGAGCGCTTAGCCGGGTGTAACGCCTGTTGATCGTCCCGAGCTGTCTGCTGAGTGGCTCGATGGAGGGAGCGAACAGTGGGAGGATGAAACAAGCGAGCCAAGAGTTCTGTTCTCGAGAGAGGGAAAGTGATGACTCTGGATCATAACCAGAGACGGTGCCTATCAAATCATAATTATTTATTTGGAGCGACATCATGTGATATTGTTTTGTTTGTTTAAGCTCTTGTCATAATCTTGAGGTATGTAGCTTTTAGCCCTTTCCAAATCGAAAATGTAAAAGGTGAATACGCTGGCTTCTGCCCACATTCCAGAATTGTGTGTGTGTGTGTGTGTGTGTGTGTGTGTGTGCGTGTGTGTGTGTGTGTGTTACATCTGAGATCAAATTTGCTCCAGTGAAACCCCCTGTTGTGAAAAATGTCTTGTTGCAAACATGATTTTTTTTTTTGTAGAGGAGTTTCACTGTACTATAAAGTATGCAAAAGATCCCAAAGGAAATTCACAAAATAGTGAGGTGGAGTAAATGAAGTCTGAGTCCAGAGACTTTGCCATGGGAGCCAACAAGTGGATGTACCTACTTACAATAAAACAAATCCATACTTTGTGTCATTTCCAATTGATGCTTGAAATAACTTTCGCCAGACGCACCAGTGATCGCTTAGTGCCTGGTTAAGTATAGGTCTCCTCAAGTTGAAAGGTCACAGTTTTGGCAGGTTGTGCATGCGCACTCCTCAGTATTGTGTATGACTGCCGAGTAACAGAAGGCAAATAGGAGGTCATTGGTCTTCACGTGGCAAAACTCTATAACTCAATATTTTTAAATCAGGCCACTTTTGTTCACAACTTATGAGTGTCTCCTCCTGGCACCTAGTTGACCTCATGCGTGCAGCAGGTGAGGCAGGGTCAAGTGAGGTCCAGCGTCTGGGCCAGGTGGTCAGAGACATGGATGGTCAGTTCGACTCCGGTGTCTATTATGTTGCGGGTGAGAAGGAAATGTCTGCTTCCTGTCTTCCCTTCAGGGCAGGGAAAACAAAGACCCCCAGTCGCTTGTTTGGCACCGAAGGAGCCCAAAGTTAGAGGATACCAACTCCAGCAGCAGCGTGTTCACCAGCCAGCCACAAAATTTTGACTGCTTGCACAATATAATGATGTTCCAGTAAATACTCTGCCTTGGCCAAGATGATAATGTCATTTGGGGTGTGCGTCTCTCCGATAAAAGTCTCGATACCCAGGGGTGCAATACGATTCAAGGACGGTCTGATTTTAAAGTGGAATGATTTTATTCGGTTCAATTTGATGCATTTGTATCTTTAAAATCCAACCCAGTTTTTTGGCTGAAACCAAGATAAGCAATCAAATTATTAGACCCCTCTTTCAACTTTACTTATGGAGCATTAAAAAAAAAAAAAAAAAAAAAAACAACAACCAGAGTTGAAACAAATTACTTAAATCTGCATTTGTATCTTTAAAATCCAACCCAGTTTTTTGATTCAAACCAAGATAAGCAATCAAAATATTAGACCCCTCTTTCAACTTTATTTATGGAGCATTAAAAAAAAAAACCCGACAACAACCAGAGCTGAAACAAATTACTTAAATCATGAAACCATTAAACATAAACCAATCAAGAGAGTTCAACGTTAACGAGTCAATGTTATAACTTTTGTTTTTTTGCTGTTGGTGAACTGTGTCGCTGCTTTATTAATTAAATACATTTTACTGACATCTGATCGTTCTGTTGGTGTTTCCTTGAGCGTAGCTCCATCTAGTGGATGCATTGTAGATTGCGTCATATAATGCGGTGCGCTCAATGTATGAAAAAAAATTACAAAATAGGCCATTCTTTGAAAGTGCGCCTCATAATCCAGTGCGCCTTTTAGTGTGGAAAATACGGTCGGTTCAAATGTACCTTGAATGCAGAGTACTTAATACAGCCAAGGTCATCATGTTGTGGTTTTGTCAGTGTATGTGTGTGTCGGTCAAGAATATCAGGTATGCAGCAAAATGAAAGAAATGGTCATTGCTTTTCGAGTTGAGAACTACGTAATTGTGGCTTTGTGTACCATTTTCGGCCACAGAGGCTCCTTTCTTAATCTTCTGTGTTGTCTTGTCATTGAACTGTTAATATGGTAACTGGGTGTCAGCAATTTGGAACAATTCCTTGTTCAACCTAATTAACCTCAACATCTCTTTTGGTTTGGCCTCAAAGTAGTGCTGGAACTTCTCCCAAATAAAGTTAGTCACTTGATCAGCAGTTAATTAGTAAAACTACACAAACTCTGTTCAAAAGCTCGTTAGGTTTGGCAGCATCCTTCTGATAATGAAATCTCCCCCCACCCCCTTTCATCTTTTTAGCTGCACGTCGATCCTTTCATCCGTTGCTCCTCCTTTTCCTCCTCCACAGCTTTCCATTCTTTATCCTTGCCTGTTTACCTTCCTGATGCTATTAAACCTTTTCACGCCACCTCATTTCTTTGCACAGGCCTGCCTAGCCTCGTGTGACCAGCCCTCATAAGTTGCTGTCTCTGTGGCTGCATCGTCTGCGTGTTTGTAGAAGTGCTTGCAAGGGTGAAAGCGGAGCCCTACGTGGGTCACGGCCCCTCCTTGCCGGCCCGGTCACAGGGATACAGTAACAAAAGGGGACCCCCGATCGTCCTTTAGACCTCCTAAGCAAGGTCAGACACAAAGACGTAGCCAGCCGGTTCTCAGTCTTTTTGCTCTCTCCCACACATGTTCAAAGTACCACGAGGATGGTTCACTTTGGAAGCAAGCATGTTGAAACTGGTTCACAATGGAACCTCGAAGGTTGAACACAATCGGTGGTAGGATGGCAACCTGATTGATTTGTCCAGAAGCAAAATGGGATAATACGGTATCCGCAAAAAACCAAAAAAAAAACTTTCATTTTGCCAGCAAACTTTTTTGAGCGAAACTGACTTTTGAAGCGACCAACCGCCCGCGATCGACCCGATCGCGCACGTGCAAGCATGCACGCATGCATGTACGCGGGCGTCCAACCATGCACACGTGCGCATATGCACGCACGCTACAATGAGCAGCAACAGCCGGATCGGCCCCTAACCTGAACGAAACCGAAAAACACAGACACGCAAATTCATTTCAATTGGGAACATTGATAATGAAATGAGCTATGAACTTGAATCACGGAATGAATTAAATTTACGTCAAGGCACCGCTGTGCTTAGAATCTATCCTAGATTCTCGTAAATTGCTTCCCAATTGTACTTTTTATTGCTTAAGCAAATATCTATGCTTTGGATACGGATTTATCTTCTTACAGGTGAATCAATTGTTGCAGCTCACATCTTCAAATAGTGAGTGGCACGAATCCTCTTTCTTGTCAGAGCTATACAGCCCTCTTCTGTTGCACAGCTATCAGCCCATTACATTGCGGTCCACCTTGCCTTTGCAGTGAATGATCACTTTGCTCAATTTAAGCCGTTTCTGGCCTCTCGCTGTAACCATTTAGCTGAAAACGATCCATTAAGGCCTCTCAGGCTACATTAGACACTCGTAGGTTTAATGATGGCCAGCAGCGTTCTGGCAAGGTTGATCGCCCTCTTTCTCTTTAGAATGGCCGACCGTCTATTTGTGGGTTGTATTTGTGCGTAGTCATGGCTGTGTCTCAAAGTCAATGCCACCATCACGTGCGGGTGTAGACCGAGCGACCGTACCTGGAATGTTCGTTACGTCACAGTGAATGGTGTTGCCAAGGTAGTGTGTGTTTGATCTAAAAGCCGGTACGCACCAATGAAGGACAAGGCATATCCGCTCCCCATACGTTGCCGGAAACTGGGCTGACCCTTTGCCCCCCTACTACATACTCCTATGTACATATGTACGAGGCAGACTAGCAGACTTGTGTCTAGTGGTCACTGGGCTGTATCCACCATAACGAAACAGACAAGAGGTGAACCAAGCAAAGAGTCAAGGCCAACGTTCTTGTCTTTATGTCTGCCTTGAATGAGTGTTGCAGGCCTTTTTTCCATATGCATGGGCATGGTCCACTCGCTCGATCCGCATCATTTGCACAACATGGGTGGGATTATGAAAACTCATCAGACCACATATAGAAGAGATTTTTTTTAATGCAATTTTTTTTTTCAAATATTATGGTATCTTAAATCACAACAATTGTGTTTGCGTTTTGTGGTTCATATGCAGTGAGTTTTTATTAGTATATCGAACTGAATGCCATGGGAGAATTAGCACCATCATCTCAGTGCTCATCAACCGGGGTGTGAAACCGGTTTCAATAATCCTCACAGGTGATGCAGTATTTCTTTGAAATATCCAAACATCTATGATACACTGATCAGAAATAAGAGCTATTCTTTAAAGGGACAATGTTAAAAGAAATTAGCATCACTGAAATGATGAAAATACAGTAAATACTTACAAAGCAGGTAGAGATAAAACTTCAAAAATGAGCAGCGTATCAAATACTTGTTCTCCCCACTGTAGTAAAGTGAATGCAATTGTCAGTAATGTTTTTTTTTGTTTGTTTGTTTGTTTTTTTACATCAGTAGCAATGCTTGGCAAGTATGTTCTCTTCTCCGCATAATATTGAAAGAATAAAATCATGCATAGCGTTGCTTGTAATGCACTATAAGAACTCATCTCTACATAGAGGTGGATTTTGAGTCGATTAAACCAAGTCTATAACACACTGGACTTCCACTTTGTGGCCATAGGGTCACGGTTTATCTCAAAATTCCGCCAGATTTGGGCCAAAGTCTCTCTCTCAAACTCGTTTAAATACTTAGTCATGGCCATTTCAGATATTTCAATGACAGTCTTTTTATAAACATCATAATTTCTTAGCAGTGACTTTTTTTTTTTATTTCTTACTTTTTGCTGTTTCCCAGGGTGGTGAAGGTTCTGCTTGAAGCCGGTGCTGACCCAAATGCTGGAGATCACTTCAACAATGTTTATGACACCTCAAGGGAGAGAGGCATCCACTCACTGGAAGGTAAAAAAAACCACCAAAAAAAAACGTGTGCATTTGTTATCTATGGCTGTGATATTACATATATATGACTCGCAAGTGTACAAATAATAAGTATGCACCATTAGGGTTTGCATAAAGATTAGCATATATGCACATTTTATTTCCGGCGTATTATTCATTGCATATGTTCTCCACTAAGTAATGCACGTATTATTTGTTTTCCTCCCGAGCTGCACATACAGTCACACATACACAGGCAGGGTGGCACTGACGGGCGCTTAGTCCCCTCCCCAACCTGTGTTGGATTTCTGCAGACATATTTATATGGGATATGTATATTGCAGACATTTATATGGCTGTCAGGTTTGAGTCCACGCGGGGCCAGCACAGCGTGGGGAAGCGTTTCCCAGATGCACACTGATGGATGGGCTAGGGGGGCCTGTGCGACGCTTTATTGGGTTAGCTATGATTATCCTGCCCTGCCCCTCTCTCTCTCTCTCTCTCTCTCTCTCTCTCTCTCTCTCTCTCTCTCTCTCTCTCTCTTTTTTTTCCTCTCCCTTTCTCGCTCTTGCACACACCACATACACACTGACACTGCAGAGAGGAGCTGTTGTTGAGAGGGATGCAGGAAGTGGAAGACTGATGAAGGACAGGAGTAGGAAAGGAAGACAGTGGGGAGCAGCAATGGACAGAGCAAAGTTAAAGATGAAGGAGAAGATGCAGTGATAGAGGGAGGGAGATGGGAGTTGGGTGAAACGTTGAGGGCGAGGATGCCAGGAAATGGATGAGACAAAGTTATTGGGATGGAGGGGTGTGGGTGCCGGGGTGGGGGGTGCAAGTGATGAAAGGAATTGATGGATGCCAAGATGGAGAGGAAGGAGGTGGAAAAAATAAAGCAGGATGATGGAGTGGCAAAGATGAGTGCTCTTATGGAAAATAGAAGGAAGGAGAAAACAATATGTATCTGTTGGTAGAGAGGAGCACAGCAAAACACAACTCTCCTTCTTGGGATCATTTTGGACAACTGTTCCAAAGCAAGAAATGGGAAAGTGACTTTTGCACTTTCCAATGCTGTTGTCATTACCACACCCTGTGGAGATTTATCTGCGATGACTTTTCAAGTTGGAGAGAGTTATTAAAGATTGAAAGGCTGCAGCTGTCGAAGTCTGCTACTGTCTTCCTTTATTTGTAATCATGTATCAGTTTCTGCCATTCTTGACCTCAGAACTTGCTTGTGAAAGTCTCTCAAATTCAAACATTTCCTGCACTGTAAAAATAGTATATAGAATGTACTCAATTTTACTTCGCCAAGTGCTTTCATTAAATAAAATCATCCGGATCCAGATACATTTTTTTTTAAATAATCTATAAAGCTAAATCCAGATGAGTCTATTGTGTGTAACATCTTAACACAATACAATTGTGTAAATTCAACACATCATTTTTTTTTCAGTGTGGTAACGTTCAACTCTCGTCCCTTTCCTGTAGTGCTGGTGTCCAGAGAGGATGAGTTCAGCACCAGACTCAGCAGCCGGGCCGGTTTCCGTGGCTGTTCAGCACTTCACTACGCCACACTAGCTGATGACCTGTGCAGTGTCCGCACGCTGCTCGAATTCGGTATGTCACGCTGTCAACTGTCAATCAGAAAGTTGTGGAAGTAACCGTAAATTGGCTCGTGTGTGTGTGTGTGTGTGTGTGTGTGTGTGTGTGTGAGTGATTCCAGAGTATTACAAAGCGCATTTGAAATTGATCACTTGCTCATACTGTGTCTTTTCTCACCCCCGCTACACTCGCACCTGTCGTTGACACACACACACGTACATTCGAAGACCCTGGAGGCAGAATCTCCCCCTCAGTTTCCAGGCGAGCAGCTCTTAAACAAGCCAGGCCTAGTTGAACTGTGACCTCCGCACAGAACATGCCCTTGGGGTAACGCCACACTCACAGGAAGTGTGTCTTTTGTGTGTGCAGGAGTAAAATGTCTTTGTGCATCCAACCTGCTTTTTCATTGATTTAAACGCGTGTGTATTCATGAGCATTTATTTATTCTCGTCGGCATTTGCGGTTGATACCGTTTGCCTTTTACTGACTTTAACACTTTTTTTTGTCAAATGACATCGCTATACAATCCCTACGCCATACAGCAAGTATTAATGTCTTGTTTATATTCATGATGGATGGTGAGTTCCAAGCCGCCTGTCCCATCTCACCCCTTTGCTCCTGTGAGCACACTTAAACAAATCACCCTGTGTAACTCGATCAGATGCATACCCATAGATGCATTTTTGAATTAAAAAAAGGTAAGAACTTCCACAAAAGCCGAGACATTTGTTTTGGACCACAATTGGATTAAGGCTGAGTTTTACTGTTTCCCGTTGGGCCCCATCATTGCTTGGTTGGCGCCACTATCATGACCAATAACCATCTGGACATCGTTGCGGTCACAAACGCCGCACTTTCCAGTTTGAGTTTTTAAAAGACCTTGTTAAGTGAATTCAGAGATTTGTTTCTGAATACATGATATACTGTACATGTTTGTAGACTTTTATCATTTCCATCTTTACAGTATATCACACCATCTCTCACACACACACACACACCCACACACACACACACACCCACACACACACACACACCCACACACACAAAAAAAAACAACAACTTATGAAGCCACAGCTTCAGGACATTTTGATGTGTGTGCCATGTATGGACACTTTGTCCCATACATTGTTATTTCCCCTGTGTTAATGTGGAGACCATCCTACCGTAGTTGCCTTGGGTTTGCTCTTTTGGCCTTAGTTAGCCCTACACTCACATCTCCATCCATCACAGTCTCCTGGCTTCACCCTCGGGTCCCTCCGAACACCACAAGTCCCTCTCCCTACCTGCAGAGTTTTTTTCCCCTAGGCCCCACATCAGCCCTCCGGCCAGGGGGGCACTCCGTTGTGGACATCTCTGTATATGTGGTGGTGGGCCAGAACGGGCACACATGCTCAGAGATGCACACAATGCAGAAACAAGGACGGACACACACATGCACACACAAAGACCAGCAGGAGCTCTCTCTGGCCAGCTGCTGTGAAAGAGAAGGCGGAGGAAATAGGAGAGGGGAGGGCACCCCTAATAGGCATAACTAAAGCACTCCTAATGAACGTGTTGTGGTGTGTGGGGGGGGGGGGTGAGCCGTGGTGTGGTTGTGTGTGTGTCGTTAGTGTTGATCCAGTTATAAAGTGCTATGGCCCAGAGGGTTGGCCTGATATTAAAGCCCTAAATGATGCTATTTATTATGTTGCGTGCACGTGCGCACGCATGTGTGCCTTTTGGTGTGCCTGCGCACCCACCTTATTGCTTTCCTCCCTCATGTTTTTCAGTGGGGCGTGCCGGTATATTATTGTTAGAATCAATATCCTCATGAGCAGGTCACAATTTTTAGGGGTTTATCGATGTCATTATTAGTCTCCGCGGTGGCTGCTCGGACAAAGCAGGATCACGCTCCCATCTGTATTGATCGCACACACTGAGAATGTTTGAGTGTTGCTTACTCATCTGATGCCTCGCGATGTCCCGTGTCCATTTGTCGTTAAATACTTTTTGTCGTGAAAATATTATTCCCCCTCCCACTCCCAAAACATTTAAAAATAATAATGCTCTCATAAAGCCTTTAAAGTTGCACATTTAACCAGCTTTCCAGAATCTACTTAAGGTAACCACATTGTGGTAAAGAACCTGTTGAACTCGAACTGAACTTTTTTTTTTTTTTTAATTGGTTCACATGGTCGTACATTTAAGATATTTTTCACATGCAGTGCATCTGGAAAGTATTCACAATAATAACTTTTTCCACATTTTGTTACAGCCTCACACAAAGCACCCCAAAATGACAACATGAACAAAGGTTTTAAAAGCAGATTGAAAATGTACCAAAAGTAACGACAAACAAAAAAAAATGTACCGGTAACCAAAACAATAAAAATACTCAGAAATTGAAGAAAAGTATTCACAGCCTTTGCTGTGATGTAGGAGACGGTGTTAGTCATCGGCACACGTTGCAGATATGAACCCCCCCCCCCCCATTGGGTCATTGCATGGTCCGCCTGCTTCACTGCAGTTAGCCTCTGTGACCCCTGAGCCTGTGTGACCCCTTAGTTGACTTTTTCATCGACATTCTGAACCTGCTGCTGAGGTGGTGGCTGAAAGCGGATGCTTTTCTTTAAATTGACAACCTGCATTCCATGTGTGCTCACATACAGGTGCGAATCCTCTTCAGACCAATGGTTTGGGACACACGGCACGAGCCTATGCCAAAGAAGGAGAAGTGAGCACACTTCTGGAGGAGTGGGAGGGCAAGGTATACACACACGCATACACGTGTTATTTAGTGCAGCTCGGCAGAATGTGTAGGCAATTAGAACGACGTTGCTTTGAATATGTACAAATGTCTGTTTCCTGCTCAGTTAATCTGTTTTATTGACGTGCATCACACGGACACACACAAACACTCATCAGGAGGTCCTTACATGAATGGCAGCTGCTATGGAGAACCGGGGATGTGAGAGCTGATAGAGGTTAACTGGGGTTAAAACCTGGTCCAAGAGTTGAAATGTGATCCATTGTCACTGTTGTGCAGAAGCCACCGATGTCCAATTTGGTCAGTTTTATATTTTCTCTCCACGTGAGTCAGTTATTTATGAATTAGTGACCTGATCTAAAATGTTTATGGTGTTTTGCTCTGGCGCTACGGCTGTATATAAACTTGTCTTAATATCGAGATGAATCTCCATCACTGTAACAATCCATCCCAAATTGGTCCCTTTTGTCTCGCCACAAGCATGAGCATTTCTATGTTGCCGTTCATTTTCACCACACCAACTCCACAATTGGGCTCGTCATCGCCTTGACATCTGCGGTGGACGCACACCAAGGACACACTAAGACCGCATTTCGAGCCTGATATTTAGTCCATCGTAGCCAATACCCAATCTATGTTCCATCACCCAGCGAGACCATAGAGTTATTATGTTATGTGCAGTGCCTTGCTTTCATCTTAGAAGACTGCACAAATAGCGCGGTGTGGCACAGGCCTTAAAATCGCACTAAAACATGGAGGAGGAACCATCACTCTACGGGCTGGAAAGCGACACACGCAACCATGAAAATAAAGACCGAAATGCTGAAATAAGCACGCAATCTCAACTCTATACGTTTTTCCATCTAGTTCCAGGAGGCGCAGGCTCGCCGGGAGGCGGAGGAGAGAAGGAGGTTCCCCCTGGAGAGGAGGCTGAAGGAGCACATCATCGGACAGGAAGGGGCCATCAATACTGTGGCTTCAGGTGACTAGACGTGTGTGTGTGTGTGTGTGTGTGTGTGTGTGTGTGTGCGTGTGTGTGCATGTAAAAAGTCACAGACTCATAGCCGATTATTGTTCTCGAGCGTTACATGTAGCTCAGTGCTTCACGAACACTTGCTCTTAGGCGCACTTTTGTTTTCTTTGTTTTGTTCCCTTTCTCTTTTTCTCCCCTGCCTCGCGGTCCTCAAGTAAGAGGCGGGTTCAGACAGACCGGTGGATGCTGTAATTGGTTAATTGTGATGAATGTGCTGTCTGTCAGATGCAGTACACAGGTGCTGTGTGTGTGTGTGTGTGTGTGTGTGTGTGTGTGAGAGAGAGACAGCTGAAGGAGGCCAGGCTCGGAGCCGCCAGTTAACACGATTACTGAGAGAGGAGACAAACTACAGACTCCCCCATCCTCCCCCATTTGGCTTTCTCTCCTCAATCTTCCATCTCCATCACACCCACTCCTTCTCCATCCCCCCTTCTGCCTTTTTCCTACATTTGCTTCATTGCCTCCATGATACCTATAGAATCTTTGCATCAGCCTACAGGAAGTAACACTCTTGCAGTTTGCTCTCTTTTGGGAAACCGCGCTACAAAATTTTGGAGTCAGTGGGAGTTGATGGTAACCATGAGGGCCAAGCTGCCGATCTCTTGCAGGTCATTCCAAAGGTGTTTGAAGCTTGATTTGATGGCGTTGATTGAGCTCCGGTTTCCACTGAAGTTTTTCCGCACCAACCTCGTCCGCTTTTATGGACAATAGGAACATTGACAGTGGAGGCGGTGATTAGTGCAAAGAGGAAGGGAGGATGAGTTAGAGCACAATAACACAGCAGACAGTAAAGAGCTGATATTACACCAGGCATCCAGAGAGGCCTAGTATTGATCCGTGTGTGTCTGCCCGCGCGCGCGCAAGTGAGGCTATGTGTTATTTTTATGATGCTGCAACTGTTTCAGTTTAGATTTTGCAAGCTAATCAACTTATCTCCCAAAGGTGGAACCGAAAACGGTCAAGTTTAATAGCTTTGTCGGAGCAAAAGCTCCCTACCTGTCGCTGTTTAATCAACCGGGCAACAAAATTGCTCTGGTGAGGGAAATATTAATGTCGCTAACCAATGCTGCATGACCTCAAGTGTGTAAAAAAAAATAAATAAATAATAATAATAAAATAAAATTAACACAGACCAGGTCACAGGGAGTCACAGGTTTTGCTTTGTGTAGCTCGAGTGAGTCATGGCTCTTTGGGAAGGTGATAAATGGCCGCTGTTATCCTGGCAAATTGTCCTGAAAGCCATACAAGACGTTGCCACATTGATAAGGGAACAGTTTATTGATCCCAGAGATGTTTTAAAGTCACCACACACACACTCACACAAGTGCGCAGAAGAAGAGGGAGAGAGCGTTTTTGGAGTACCTGAGTCTGCTGATACAGAGTCATGATCGAATACCACCAAGAAGGGAGAAAGAAAAAACACCACCCATCCAAATTTCTCTATTTTCTTGATTTTTATTTGTTACAATAATGATTTTCCTACACTACTGTGTCCAAATAGGTGTAGTAGAACGAGTCTTAAAAGGTTGCAGCTTGACTGAACGACAAGGATTTATTTTTGTGGAATCCCAGCTCTTGTGCCGACCCGGTTTGTCCTGAAACATGACATTGCGTCACATAAAACTAAGCTGCTGGCGATCTATTTGTCACTCAGAAATATTTTGTCACTTTAGGAATGAAGAAGTGAATGAAACGATACCTGATATCGATCAGCTGAAAAGTACAAAGGATATGATTGGCTCCAATTCGCCATCACACGATCAAATCATGACAGCGCGAGTAAGAAATAGAGATTGCCCCCATGTCACAATTTGTTAAATTTCACATTTTTTTCCATATATATATATATGTCCTCTTGGTCAGTCCATTTGTGTTATTTTGACAAATTATCGACAAATCTCCAGTGTTGAAAACGACTCGCTCTCTTTGAAAATGCAACGTTACCATAATTGTGATATTTGAGATGTAAAAAAGAAATCAATAAAACCCTCCTCAATCAAGCCAATGGAAATTGTAACCCGATTTCCACAGTATGTATGGTACATCTACCATATCCAGAACTTCTGGAGGACACGTCTGATCACGCATCTCCAGTTAAATTTGTCAACGCCGAGTTAATAAACAACAGCCACACATCATGACGTGCCGGTGTAGCGATAACCGAATGATTTACTCGATGGATAAAGCGATGCATCGTCGATCATTTTATCTCTTGATGAAGGAAAACTTTGGTGAATGGCCAAATACTTTTTCTCTCACACAAGCAGGCCTGCAGCGACACGCGTACACCGAGTGCAAATACACAAACACACAGGAAGCAGGTTAAATTGATCCAGGTTTAGCTCTCAGGGCTAAGAGTTATTGAAGAGAATCATCCCGCTATAATCATGTTAGAGACGACCAGACCTGCCCAATACACACGCGCGCGCAAGCGAGCGAGAGAGTACTCATTTGTTGTGCGCCTCCTTTCTTTCTGTGTTCTTGTCAGGCTCCTCTGAGAAATGTCAATGCGTCCTTCTGGCAAAGTCGCTCTCAATCAGCTAAAACGCGCACAGAAGGTTACGCTGTCATTCGCGCGGCCATTGATAACGCGGACGGGAGCTTGTCACGTTTCATCTTCGCGGCCGGCTCTGACATACTCGTTTGTTTCTCGACCTCGTTCTCTGTCTGCTTATCTCCCATCAGCCCTCTTTATCTCTCTGCCCCCTCCCTCCCCTTTTCCACCCATTATCTGTGTTCCTCCCCGCATCTCTCCATCTTTGCCTCCATCATCATCATCATCATCTTTCCACCTCTGCCAAGTATCACTTCTTGACAACGAGCAGTTATTCTTGGCTACTCTACTTTAGTACTCGTGCAGGAAGTAAGCACCACCAGAGGTACTTCGCTGCAGCAGCTCGAATGCTTGGTAATTGAGCAGGAAGTGTTTCATAATGTGATTTCACTCAAGTATATGTGTAGGTAGCCTCTCCATCGCTGCACGGGAGAAATACAGCGCGGTACACTCCACACTCAAAAAGAAAAGGCCCCATTGGGTGTGGTTAGAGCCGCTCCTCATGTATTGAGTCGAGAGCGGGTAGAAGCAACTGGCGAAGCTGCAAGCGGCCCCCAAACTTGTCATGATTCCAATCACACAGAGTGCCAACCCCGTCTCATGCAAATGAGCCACTGCTCACCGCACCCTCGTCTGGTGCTCAGAGTGACAACGGAGTATGACTTTAGTTTACCGAGGCAGCCAAAAACGGAGCTCTTTGAGCCATGAATTTTACTTTTGAAGAAAAAAAAAAAGGTGAAACACCCGAGCGACCATAAAGATGGTCAAAGTATCGATTGTATTTTCAACCACGGATGTGGCACCTCATCATCAAAGTTGCCGAAAATCAGGGTGCACCGCATGCGACCTAAGCCACTTTCTCACGATCGTATATTGTGACCGCATGTCGTGATAATCCAAATTCTACAGTCTGCTGAAATGCAGTACAGACGCTCCCCAGCTCACGAACGAGTTACGTTCCGAAGGATCGTTCGTTGACTGAATTCATACGTAAGTTGCTTCAGTGCTATATTTTGTATGGAATGTATGTTTAAGGCTTATATAAGTATGTTTAAGGTTTATATAAGTATAATAAAATGAAGTTTAACTTACTTTTGGAAGATGTACTCGAAGGCTTAAGGAGATGATGGAGGGGGCGAGAGTTCCGTCTCGAACTTCTTCATGGGCACAGGCGTTTCCTCCTCCTCCTCCTCCTCTCACAGCGCCTCACGTCGGTATTAGCGGCGGAAAGAAGTACTACAGTACTCGGAAAAAGGCGCGCAATACAAAATCGAACTGACAGCATCTCTGTCCGAGAACATTTTTCGACATACCTGTACCCGCAAAAATGTTCGTATGTACCGTTGTTCGCAATACGAAAGTTCGTAAAGCGGGGAGCGCCTGTAGTCGTCATCAAATATTTTAAAGAGTGACCTAATAAAAAATCTATCGATCTGTCGGAGACGCGAGGCGCCAGAGATGTGTCTTGTGTCATGATATCCTGAAATGTATCAAGTCCCTCACGTCACATTCCCGCTTGTGTGCATCTGCGCATGATATTGAACAGAGTATTGCAATCACACCTTCACAAACCGCGACGTGTAAAATGTTCGTCTTTTTCGAAACATCGCTTGCTCGTGAGTTAACCGGCTTTCACTTGCGTAGCAACATCAAAAATGATTGCTACGTGTTGATTTCAGTAGCATCTATATTTACTCTGTTAAATAGAGTGCGTTGTCTTCACTTTGGGATTGGAGTACTTTCACACTGCAGTCTGATAGCCGTCTCTGAACAGTCACAAGAAAATTGATTAAAGCAAAAAAAAAAAAAAAACATTGAAACATCAAGACCTGCCGTGTGCACGTCGCCTAAATTCTTGAGTGCGAAACCACAGCAGATTCACTCTTGACTTGGCCGCTGTGAAGCTCATCATCCTGCCTTTGTGTACGTGCGAGTGTGGTTGCTGGGGTGATGGCAGGGTTGGGTAGGCACTCCTCTTTAAGCGAGCGTGTGTGTGTGTGTGTGTGTGTGTGTGTGTGTGTGTGTGTGTGTGTGTGTGTGTGTGTGTGTGTGAGAGGCTGCGATCCATGCTAAACTGATTTTGCCATGGCCGCGCCAGGGAGGCTAACGCAATTACTGCTGGCTAATGGCCCCGCTGACTGTGTGGGGGGAAGGAGAGGCATTGTGGGTAGCTTTCTGGAGGTCTCTCGTCTTGCCCGCTCACTCGCTTTTCTCGTCTTTTTTTCTGTCTCGTTCTGGTCTTGGACCAAAATGCATCTGACCCGTTCCTCATCCCTGCCCTAGCGACCCTGCAGCAAAGTTTCTGGGATAGCAGCCGCCGTTGAGTCAACTCAAGTCAAATGGGTAGAAAAGTCAACAAATGTGATTTTTCTGATATTATCTGCCTTTTCTCTCTCTCTCTCTCTCTCTCTCTCTCTCTCTCTCTCTGTGTCTGTCTCACTCTGTCTTCTCACTCACTGTCTCTCTCTCTCTCTGTCTGTCTCATTCTCTCACTCTATCTTCTCACTCTGTCTGTCTCTCTGTGTCTGTCTCTCTCCCTCTCTCTCTCTGTCTTCTCTCTCTCTCTCTCTCTCTCTCTCTCTCTCGCTCTCTCTCTCTCTCTCTCTCTCTCTCTCTCTGTGTCTGTCTCACTCTGTCTTCTCACTCACTGTCTCTCTCTCTCTCTGTCTGTCTCATTCTCTCACTCTATCTTCTCACTCTGTCTGTCTCTCTGTGTCTGTCTCTCTCCCTCTCTCTCTCTGTCTTCTCTCTCTCTCTCTCTCTCTCTCTCCTCACTGTTTGTCTCCTCTCACTCTGTCTTTCTCTCTCTCTCTCTCTCTGTCTGTCTCTCATTCTCTCACACTCACTCACTCACTCACTCTCTCTCTCTCTCTCTCTCTCTCTATCTTCTCACTCTGTCCATCTCTCCCTCTCTCATTCTCTGTCTTCTCACTCTCTCTCTCTCTGTCTCCCTCTCTCTCTCTCTCTCTCTCATTCACCCTGCAGCCATCAGAAGGAAGGAGAATGGCTGGTATGATGAAGAGCACCCGCTTGTGTTCCTCTTCCTGGGCTCATCGGGAATTGGTAAATCACTTCTCTGATTACACCCCAACACTTCCTCTGCTCGTTTGTTCTCATGAGGTGATGGCAAAAAAAATGCTTGTCCGCCTCTGAAAAGCACACTGCCAGAATAATCACACTTTCTTTAAGACTGAAGAGTCTTTGTCCTCCCAGCAGGGATAACAGACTGTCAAAGACACTGTGAAATGTTCAGAAAATGTACACGCATGTGCCAATTGTCAATCTATCAGTCTCCTGTAAGACTGACAGTTGTTAATAATACCTTGTCAGGGAAGAAGGGGTGTTGCAGCGTGAATGGAAGGATGACAGCGGATGACATTATAGAACAGGGCGATTGCCAGAAAAGTTTGAGATGGTGAAATGGCAGGCCAGAGAGATAGATGAGGACCCACACTGTTCATAATTCTCTGTTGCCTTCGGCGACAGTGACCGAGAGTCATCAATATTAAACACAGCGACAAGACACACACATGCGCGCATCTGCATACCAAACACAAGACATCAATATCTAATATGAGCATTTTTATATGCTGAATATTTTGCAGACAATCATGAAGTGACCTCCTCGAGATGATTGAAATCTCTCTTAGAGGTCACCACTGATATTTAGCCCAGCACTTAAAGATAGATCACCCTTCCGTGCAGAATGTTTTTTTTTTTCTTTTTTTTTAGGTTTCCCGAAAATGTCAGCTTTTTTTTTTTTGGGGGGCGGGGGGGGGGCGGGTATAAAATACTGCAAAGTTATTAGATGTGGGTTCTTGACCAATGAAGTGGACTCTCTCTGTTGTGTGTTGCAGGAAAGACCGAATTGGCCAAACAAGTGGCACGCTACATGCACAAAGATGTCAAAAAGGTGAAGTCACACCTACACAACGCACTCGCACACCTCCGGCAAGGTAACCAAAATATTCGGTACAGCTATCAGTCTGATACCATGGTAGGATTGTTGGCAGCTCTTGCATTTGAGATCATTATGTGGTGCAGATGTAATGTGTGGTCGGTGCATGCGCATGTAGTTCGAAGTCAATCGGTGAAAAATTAGCATCGAAAGGTTTCCCCGCCATGGAAGAATGAAGTGGCTTGCTTTTCATGACAGATTTTATGTAGTTGCAGTTGACCAAGAGCTACACAATATGCTCCCCTCAGTGCACCAAGCAACATGTTCTCTCTTTCTGAACCATTGTGCCATCACAGGGTTTCATCCGGATGGACATGTCCGAATTCCAAGAAAAACACGAGGTACGTTGCTTTTGCAGTCTTCTGATTCAATGTATAAATATGAGACCGTATATTTACAGGCAGATTTTGTCCAAAGACTTGCATGGGTTCCCTTAAAAAAATTCCCCCCCAGAGCATTTTTTTCCCACGGGATTCAGGTTAAGGTCAGCGGCTTTAAGATGATTTCATTTCGTTGGTCATATTCATGGTCTCAGATTTTGTAAAAACTAATTTCCCCTAAAAGAAAAAAAATCAACATATTTGGCTGGTCTGACATAGAAGGAAATAAAATTGTGAATCCACAATAACCAAAGTAAAAAGTTGCAGTTTTGCTTTTTCAATGTGTTTGTTTACATGGGTCGCAAAATGTCAATTTTGTCTCGCAAATTGCAATACGAAGAACCGCTTCTTTTGAGCCGTGATGAATTCTAATCGTGACCTGCATCTTTTCAGGAAGTAGACGGAATCTGGCCTCACACACATGTGCATTAGATTATCCTCACCTTAATTTTGGTTTGCGTAATCCTTTGTATTTTATTTGGATGCTGTTCATTGGCCAACAAGTCCTTGTCCTGTATGTCTGCCCGCAGGTAGCCAAGTTCATTGGCTCACCACCAGGATACGTTGGACACGAGGAAGGAGGTCAGCTGACCAAGCTGCTGAGGGCGTGTCCTAACGCTGTCGTCCTGTTTGACGAAGTGGATAAGGCTCACCCCGACGTCCTCACCATCATGCTGCAGCTCTTCGATGAGGTTTGCGCAAGTAGAACCACACACACACACACACACACACACACACACGCACACACACACACACACA